TCCCCTAAGCCTACTCAACCTTGGGGGGACTAACCCCGAGAGGTCCTAGGGCCGGGTGAAGGCTTGCTGATGCATTGCATGTGGCATGTGCATGTTTCTGTGTCTGCCTGCTTGAGCACGGTCCGAACCACATGGGCAGCATTTCACAGAGGGTCAGTTGCAGTAGCAGCTGCATCAGACAGCTAATCCCTCTGAAAGTAACACTGCAACCTTCGATAAGTCCTGCAAGGGCGCACTGAAAGATCTCGGTAGCAGCCGGCGCACCGGAAAGGAGGCGGGCAGCAGCCCGACAGACCTGTGGAGATGAGCGGGCATGGGGGGTTCGTCGTCGACGACGGTATCGGCGAGCAGGGGCCTGTGGTTTAAGTTTCCACAGCCGGCTTCGACGTCCTAAGCAGCACTGCTTATACACAGGACAATGTTTATGGTGTTCGGCTCTATTCCCACTGTAGTCATCCCTATGCATCCCGCGTCCTGGCCACCCTTGCTCGGACAGACTGTTCCCAATATGTAGCTCAGTCCAGGCAGTCCAGGGCTCGCTCGCAGCATTGCAATTTACCGATGGTACACGGAGTCCACAGGTAGTGTGCCAATGCCGGATGTGCCGATTGGCACCATGGGCGGGTCGCCGGCAGTCGGGTGTGATATTTGGCGGCCGCAACAGCTGCCAGGACATTCTCGGGATCGTGTCTGCTCCAGCATTCCTCAAAGAGGTCGAAATATCGGTGATCAGCCCTATAGCCTCCGGCCGCGTCATACAGGTCCAGTAGAACCATTCTAAGGAAGTCATCCTGAGTCCGGGCATCCAGTCTGGCCTGATCAGCAGCAAGGGTACACACGGTGCAAGAGGTAGGTCTGCTGGGAACGCCCCAGTCATGCATCTTTTTGCATCCATGCTGGAAGCCGAGAAAGCATAGCCCAGTATTACCAGAAGATTCCAGAGGATCCATGGCATGATGCCGTTTGGCAAAGCCGTGTTGAGTTCAGGGCCCGAGACCTTCTAGGGAGGCTTACCGTTCAAAGAGCGGCCCCAGAAGCCAGTTTCGGCATCGCCCACTCGCTGTGGGCCGAGAAGCTTACTACTACTACTACTACTACTACTACTACTACTGCCACTACCACTACCACTACTACTACTACTACTACTTACTACTATTACTACTACTACTACTACTACTACTACTACTACTACTACTACTACTACTACTACTCCGTTTTTCTGTAACTGCCAGGATTAAATACCATGTTTTTGCTCAGTCTGACGTGTGCTCGCCTTGTTTCTTGTCGGAGGCTCCCCGCAGGCCGAGAAAACAACCCGAAGAACGAGGCAGTAAAGGTCAACGAAGGTGGAGCAATTTTCGTGGATGATCGCAACTCATCGTGATTTGTTGTGTCGAAGACATTATCTTGGGCAGTCCTTTGCAGTGGACCGGGCTGGACTGACGGTTTAATCGGCTTTAGGACAGCATGAGTCACACGGGAGCGGTTTTATCTTATGCGGGCGTACGTGCGTGTTCCGTTCCTTCGGTGTGATGTTTCTTCATCTAGACCCGCACTCGCCAAATTCCGAAACCCCGGCACAGAAATGCTCAACCCCGGTTCGATCCTCCAACTTCGAAACCTGTGCCTTAATCTCCTAAATTGAGCCTTGAAAATCCTTATACCGCACCGGCCCTATGTCCTCAAGACCCCCGTCCATCAGGAATCCGACTGTCTGAGCCGTGGTCCCAAATCCAGATCTTAAACACAAATCCTGCAAACTTGAGGCTTTACAGCCTGAGCTGCTCTGGAACAAAAGCCTACTCGAGCCCTGGCACTTCCGAACTTAACTCCGCAAGCGCTACAGTCACTACAGGAAAACCTAGAGCCGTAGATTAAAAACCTACGAACAACTAAATCAAAACGTCCCAGCTGGACAAAACACGACTCACCTAATGCATTTTTATTGTTGTTGGACCCAAAGATTATACCACAGACTGCAAATCTGTGTCGTAGTTTTGGTCTGGTTTTCCCTCGATCTTAGCCCTTACAACCTGAAGCCCCAAACCCTACCAACCTAAATCCGAAATCCCTGAAATGCATAGTTCAAGGAGCCTAGGTTGGTTGTGAAAAGGGGTCACGACGCCTTGACATTCGGGGCCATGGACGTGTCGGTACGCACTCTGGCGGGCCAGGAGTGCCAGCTGCGGCTGGAAGGCGACCTGTAGACCATATCTGTGTAACTTGGAACTTTGCACTTGCAGTCGTACGTTTATTACACCTGTAGGTATAGACCATATGTGTGTGCAGATAGTTACATCTGTATGTATGTATGCATGCATGCATGCATGGGTGTATGTATGTATGTATGTATGGTATGTAATATGTAGTGGTAATTGTAATGTAATATAATGCAATATGTAATGTAAATGTAAACTGAAATGTTTCTTAAAATAAGCTGAATGTGTATAGGGCTCCTTGTGAGTTTTTGCGGTCACAGGGCTCTCGTCGATGTCCAGAAGCCAACGGGCGTGGGTGTATAGGTTCATCATGCTTGGGTGATGAAAGCGGCTGTGAGTGGTGTTGGACTGCCGTGGGCAGGCCTTGGGTGTTTGTTTATTTTCTTTGGCGGGGTGGTGTCAGTCATTTCTACAAGGCCAAACATGTTCTGGTTTCAACTCTCAGGTGGTCCGGCTTCATGGTCCAGCTGAAATTGAGAAGCTGATGGCGTCTCGGGTTGGTGCCAGTCCAATGCTGATGCTAAATGCACGGAGGTGTGCAATAGGAGGCTTCGGGTCCTCGCGAGTCCAGCGAGCAAGCCGAAATCCTCGAAGCACGAACATCTCAGTGCGAGTTTCGCTGGCGAGTCTTTGACAGGGTCGAGATCCTCAAGCATAGAAAGAGGCCAGGAGATCTATGAATCTTCAAAAATCCGACATAGATCGTCATGGTCATGGAACTTGTGGTGGGTGCCTGGCCCAGAAGTTCCTGCATGTGATCTTGCTGTCATCGCAGTAGGACTTGAAGTGCCTATCGTGGGAGGTTTGGCTTCTGCAGTGAGTCTGCCATCACCTGTCATCCGACACACCCAGGCTATGTAATTAGAGACGTTTCCACCGCACGAGCGAAACTCCTTATACCGCAAACCTTAAAATCTCTCGACATCCCAGGCGACCACGCTTGCACCGTGAGTCTCCAACATTTCGGCCTGGGCTGAGCCTTCGGTTGAGGGCTACCGGGATTTAAATTCAGGGAGAAGGGCGTAGGCCCCAGGCCGCAGGAAGGTCTCAGGATCAAGATGTTGATGCAAGTTTCGGTCAGGTGGCGCTACAGTCCTCGATGCGAAGCTGGCCTTGCAATCAGCATGGGAGGTGCCGCGCAAGGAGCCGGGACAGATTTCTCTATTGCTCTGTCGTTTCATGCCCTCCGTGTATTCACATCTCGGGGTGTCTTTCCTTTTCCAGGTTTCGCATCGTTTCGTTTTATTGGCTTTGGCCTTGGAGTCTTGCAGCTTTCAATCATTATGCGCGGCATCCGAGCCGAGTGCCCATGAACTTTCTTTTCTAATCCAATAGGGTACAGTGCAACATGACATGATTTGCGCATGAGGGGCCAGACTCAAGAAGTGCCACACACAGGCCGTAGTAATGGCAAGCCAACTTGCTGCAACAGGAGCAACGCCTGCTGGCGGCTTTGCGGCAATCGACCCTTAACCTGAGGGTGGTCAGCACTTTCGGGCTGATAGCAACTTCGAACCTTCGAATCAGTCAGGAGCAGCCAGATAGCCCGAAGAGCCCACAGCGCATAATATCAGCATAGAAAAACCGCGCGCCTGGAACCAATACCAAAGTCTTCTGCCTTGGCAGTGAATTGTACACGGAGGTCGTTCACACCAACAGTGTAATTGCCTTTAACTTTAACCCACGGGTACACCGCACACTAAACCCTGTACCTATGAGTTCATCCACGAGTTACGTTGCCTTGATTGTTATGTGAGGGTTAGTCGACCGGCCCTCAAGCGCGCATTGTATAACGAGTTGTTTCCTACGGATAGGCACGAGGATGAACGGCATGTCAGAAGAGCTTACCCTCAAAGATAGGTTGGGTGTAACGCGAGACCTCCAGAGTTGCGATTGGAGCATGAAGCCCCGAATCTAAGGCACCACCAGGCCTAACAACAACTCTAACCCTACGCGCCTCAACACTACTTGCAAGATTCCTGATATGTCCCCTCGTGCATAGCTGAACTCAGGCAGGAGCTTCCGTGCTGCAGGAGGACTTCGATCTTTCTGATTCATGACTTGGTGGCGCTTCGAGTTCTCTCATTTCACAGTATGCAAGCTTGATCTGTGCCCTGATCTGGTTTCATCATAGTCCTCTACGTCATCGTCGTCACCTGCGGCATCACCGTCATGACCGTCATTCGCAGCCTGGTAAGACTCACAATCAGACGGACAGCAAGAAGACCATGCTGCAGCAAAGTCTTGCTCACCACTGGCCCGTCACACAAACTTAGCTGGCAACAGCGGGAACTATTAAACTCCAGCTCAGCTGCAGCTCCAAAAGAGTACAGCTGCTCAGATTGTCACCTCAAAGCTCCTCCGCACCTGTGATTTTCGAGTTTTGTTGCAGAATGTCTTATATGGCCGCAGTGCTTGGCATCCCTCTCACTGGGTTTGAAGCCCGAGCAACGAAGGACTCTCTAACAAAGCATAAGAAATTCAGAACGCACTTGTCCACTGCCATCTTCCCTTCGAGTGAAATCCATGCACCAGGTGCCGTCGATCCACAATGTCGAGTTGCCCAAAAGCCACCCAAACCCGTCCAGGCCCCCGAAGCCCTCACCTCCTCCCCCCCGCCCAACCCATTGTGACCCCAGAGATTCAATATGGCATTGCGGACTTAAAAAGACTATCCATGCTCTGCCTTCTTGGACCTAATGCATGTTGGTAGGACACATGAGCACTCTTGGGACCATCAACCTTTCCCGTTTGCAGGAGGAGCTCCTTCTGAAGGCTGCCATGAAAGCCGAGGCGAGTCAATGAGAAAACATTGCACCAAAGGGGAGCATGCGATACTGCATCATCTGGTTCGATGGTGTGCTACTTAGCTGAGGAAGTTCGTTTGCGTGTGTCGAGATCCCCTGGCTTCACCAAGGGTGACCGGCAGCTCAAGTTGCTACCTTTGTGATGTTGAGCTTCAGTTCTACACTGCAAGTCGTTTGGTGTTGGTAGGATTGATGGCATGCACTTGCAAGGTGCTCCAGGTCATTTCGCTTGCAGAGTAGAAACGTCTCATGGCACAGGCCGTCGATGAAGCGGGTGCTGTGCAGCTTTCGCTGATTCGTGCCTCAGCTGCAGTTTAAGACAACACTTCACCGAGGGGTGACTCTAATGCACGATGCATTCAGTCGTCGCTGTGATCTAACTACCACCAAGCTATGCCAAAGAAATATTTACCAATGCTGTTTGGCTGTTTAGTAAGTATAATGCGCCCCCCGACACTCTATTCTAACTATTAAGGACCCTATTTTGCTGCAAGATGCCAGAGCGGGAGACCCAAAGACTCATTCGTGATGCATGCGTGCATTACTTCTATACTCGGCTGCTTGCTGGGAAATTTAAGCGGCAGACCTGCATCTCCATACTCCAAGTATTCCTTGCATGTAACGGGTGGTTTTCATGAGTTTTCATGCATGCTTTCGTGCGTTTGTTTTCTGGGTCCAAAGCCTCAAGATCAAGCCCAACAGAGTCCTGGAACTAGAGCGCTCAGGGTTTAGGCCATGGGCCTGCAAGTCACGCCATCGTGTAGTTCTGTAGAGCCAACCTACACTCGGACTTGGTGTTGTTGATTGTACTGTGAACTTCTTCGATAATCGCAGTCTCCAACGATCTCATCTCATCAAGCCCTAGTACCGTTTTAAATCCCCTTCAGCCCAAAAAACTCTGGAATACTAAGACAAATCCGTTATCCGATCCGCAGAAAGGCTTGGACCCCCAGCGCCCCGGCCTCCTCGAGGGCTTGGCAGGCTCCTGGGCGGAGGGTTTAAGATGTGACATAGGCATAAATGTCTAGAGTAAGGTTTGTGGTGCGGTAGAGCATATATACATATACATACATACATAAACTTATATATATATATATATATATATATATATATTGTGCGTACCTCTGGACTCGCCCTCAAATCTTAAGCCATGTAAGCCTCAAGACCCACGAGACTTCGAAAGCAACTATCGCCGCACTTAAAGTCTTGAGTTCCTACGGAAATTCAGTTGTTCTTGTAATATCTCATGTATACCTTAACCCGGAATAACCTGATTTTAAAGGTTGTATATAAGGAGTTCATAACAAGGAACCTTAAAAAGGTAGGTTATTCAGGGTTAAGGTATGCCTTGTTGAGGTGTCTAGAAAAGCAGGCTTTCAGTTTGGCGTCCTCAGGCGGCTGGCTGTCGCTGCAGGATCTCTCAGAGGAGCCTACCCGAAAGACAGTCAGTGTTAGTGTTAGTACTAGCTTTGACTGCTATTCAGTCTGCGTTTGCTTGCTGCCGGTGTGTCAGGCTTGGAGGCTTTTGTTGTTCTTATTGCTATGCTTACTATGTGCATGCAGTTCTTCAAGGCTTATAGTATGTATGTGCATGTTCAACAGCAATTGTCGGGAATCGATTTAAGGTTGTCTTTGATATTCCTCTCCTTTTTGCCGTAAGCGCACTTCCATGCCATGCTGGCTGCGCACTTTACAGAGTGCCTAAATCGGTTTCTGTCAAGAGCGACAGCACGAGGAGCTGCGGGGAGACCGCGAGATTGTCCTTACAGCAGTGGAAAGATGCGCCTTGGATGTGCTTTAGCATCCTGCGTATCTCATCTGTCGAGTCAACAACGGACTCATGAAGCATCACGCACCGTCCTTCTAGCTGTAGCTGTTCAACCCTCTCAATCTACCCTGCCCAGCCCTCAACTTACCTGTGGTTCGTAGGGAATGGAAGAACGGTAGTAATAGTAGTTATAATTGTACCCCTTTCCTCCATTCCCTACTAACCAAAGGTAAGTCAAGCCAGAATTTGAATCTACCCTAAACCCTAAACTCTCCCATCCCTCAAGCCAGAATTTGAATGCAGTCTCCAAGTAGAAGCCTCCCGAACCATGGCATGTGGGTCAGCACCACGCACCGAGCTGAGGCGGCTGGGCTTTGGAGTTTGCCTCCAGCCTCCTGGCAATGGGAGTACTATACTTCTCTTGAATACATGATACACATGGGCGGTGTGTGTGTGTGTGTGTGATTCCGACAGTACTTGCAGTCACTACTGATGTTGTTCTAACTGACTCGTCTGTCCGCATTGCTGTCGTGAATATCGTTGTAACCTTGTTGCATTCAGGAGAAAAGAAGACTACATATAGCTGAAGAATAACGTTTGCTTCCGCCCTATCGGCCGCGCATGGCGTCCATTCCTTGACACTGTACCTGGTGAAGTCTTCAGGACCCCCAAACCATGAACACTAGCAAGCCTACTCCCTAGAGACCTTGAGCTCTAAATGCTACACCCAAATCTTAAGCCCAACAAACCCTTAAACCCTGAGGCTCAAAAGCCCTACAATGCTTATGCCCTGAACCCGATTCTCCTTAACTCCGTAACTCTGCTCAAAGTTGCGAGATTGAGGCCTCCTCCGCGGAGATCCCTCCGTGGCACTCCGTGCAGTGCGAAGCGACGCCCTTGCGCTGGACACTTTTGTGCCAACAGCGTCTGAAGAGTAAACCCTAGCCCTCAGCCCTGAAGAGTTTTAGTGAAGAGTTTGAATCGGGTTGGGCTTAGGGTTTGCGGATGTGTGATTAGAGTTCAGAGCTGGGAGTTTCCGAAAATGGGTCCTTATTGTAGGGATCCCAAGATCTAGATAAGGTACCCGGAATTCCCACGTGTTTGGTGAAGCCATTAGATGGATGGATGTTCGTACAATCTTCAGCTCCTGAAGTCCCCAGACGATGCCGCAGCAGATCGGCACCCTCAGTCCCCCAAAGATCCGGATGCAGCATGCTACGAGGCTTTTGGGTGAAGATTTTGGTGATAACCGATAACTCCCCCTAGATTCTAAACCACAAAAACATGTCTTCCTATAGATCCTTAGAAGTCTCCTCTTGTTTGGATACCCACGGTCCTTAGTATAGGAACCGAACCATAGAGTAGGATGTCCAAAAAGGAATCGTGACCAAATTTTGGCTCGGGGTCAGCTCCTGTCGGACCTGCATGGAGCCTCCTCGCTTTTATTGAATCCAAAACCGCTAGGCCTTAAAACTTATATCAAACCAACGCAACCAAACTTTACCCGGTATCTAGAATCTCAAGCTCCCCAAAGCACCCTGAAATTGCAAATGCTCGAGCCCGAAATGAGGGGATCCCTTAATTCTAGAACCCTAAAGAGCCCTTATAATAATCCTGATAGAAAGCTAGCGGCTAGGAACCTTCTGATAGGAGACCTCAATTCTATAACTTTGATAGAGCCCTTATAGAAGAACCCTGGTGAGAGGAACCTTGTGAGCGTCGAGTTCTGATGCTCGCAGGAGTTTGCCTCTGAGGCTCTCCGCCGCGACAAAGGCGGGGCTTTTCCGATCTTCGTAATTCGGATTTGTAAGGTGTCAGGATACGGCGTTTAAGGAACGTATTAGTTGTTAGATTAGGGGCTTTGGAATTAGGGACCAAGGTGTCAGGATACTGCGCTCAACGTTGTTCGAGTTTGGCGTTCAGAACTTTGGTGTCAAGGGCTTTAGGGTTTTACGCGTGGGGGGTGGGGCGAGATTCATGGTTGGGCTGTTTTTGTTTTGTGTGTTCGGCTTAGGGCCTTGGGTGTATAGTAAGAGGGTCTAAGGGTGTACAGGGTTTAAAGTTTTGGGCTTTGTGGCTTGAGTTTGAGGATTTTGGCCACTGGTTTAAGACATCTTTATCTTTCATATTTGTCTGGAAACCTTTATATGCGCATGTACGTGCTTTCATGATCAATGTTCACATAGGCTTGAGATGAAGGGGTGGGGGTTCCTACACTCGAGGGTTTTATTTTCATCACATGAAGCTGCAACTCCAGCCTGATGCAGGTGTCGTCCTTGAAGCGGTGAGCCGCAATGGTGGGGTCCTCAGCGGAGCAGAGCCACGGGGTGAATTCAGCAGGATCGAGTAAGAAAACAGGACATGGCAAACCCCGTGCGAAATTATGCCGTGAGTTTTGCAAAATCCTGTTTCAGACCGTGCACAGATTTCTTGCTTCCACAACAATCGATAGACATGCTCGCCACAAGCCACCGCAAAGAACATGGGTCTAGTAGACTTTCAAGTTTGATTTTCGGAAAAGAGCCCATCTTTCCAGTCAAAGACATCTGCCGATCCCCCTAAACCCTAAACCCTAAACCCTATTGGGACTGGAGGCTGGGCTTTGTGCTTTGCCTCAGAGGATCTGCGATGCTGCCGTGCCGCTGGGCTGCCTTCGAATTCAGTCAGTCACATGGGTGGTTGTCAAAATTAGGGTCCCTTTTTGGGGTCCTTATTATATTACGGCACCGAATATCCAGGGAACCCCAAAACGGGCCCTAATTTTGACAACCAGCCACATGAAAACATCTAAGGTTCAGAAGCCTGGTCTAGTACTGCACACTAAGCCCTGAACCATAGGCTTCTGGCCACACCGTATCTGTCTCCTTGGGAGATCGTTGGCGATTCTATAAACGGGTCTCACATGGGGAGCACATCGTATCAAAGATTCACGCAACGACGCTGATGCTGCCAGGCACAGGTAACCAACCCCGTTTCCGAAATCAGAATGAACAGCAGAATCGCCCGGGTCATATCAGACTTCTTCTGATAGGGCAGTGCCCGCAATGATCGTAATGTCAGCAGGTAGCATGTTAACGACAGAAACAGCCGTAAGCAGACAGACAGACAGACAGACAAAGGGGGAGTGGCCAGATAATGCAAAGTTCCGACTTACTAAGATCTGTGGCACACACACAACGATGCTCGGTCACACCAATGCAGTGCGTAGGATGTAGGACTGAGCCCTGGATGCCCTAAACCCTAAACCCTAACCCTAAACCCTAAACCCCATGCCTTCCCACACTCCAGGAAATCGTGATGGCTGCTGTTGGAAGCCGCTCAGACTCACGACTGGTCTCTGGGTTTAGGGTTTAGGGGTTTAGGGTTTAGGGTTTAGGGTAACTCCCGATCCTCTCCGATCCAGAAACCCTGAACACCCGACTCCTAAACCCCAAACCCTAAACCGCACACCTGAAGTCGATAAAGCCCTCTGACCATGCATATAGTCTCCATTGTAGTTCCTTTTTTTGGTTAACCAGTTTTTTGGTTAGGATCCTATCATATAGATTTGGGTTAAGCAGAAAGAGGAACTACAATGGAGACTATAGGTAGACTCCAAGTCCCTCAACTCCCCAAATGAGGTCTTCAGCGCCTGAAGCCCCGACCGAGGTAACCCGCTCTCCCTGCAGTTCGCGGACGAGGCCGACAAGGGTGGCAGGATGAACTGGCAGGGTGCGAGTTTAGTATTAACCTATATATCGGGTTTTATGGGCTGCTATAGGGTCTCTGTGAGGTTCCTTATAGGTTTCATGGGAATCGGTGCTTCCGGCGGTTTTCGGACGTGACGTTGGTTTCAGGCAGAGTATTGGGGTTTGGACCTCCTGGTTTCCACTCTTCTCTGTTTGTTCAGGATTCATACGAAGGCCGACATCAACGTTGCCTGAATGCAACTGCTCCGGATCTAGCTTCAGTCTGGCACATGCTCATGCATAATATATGAGTAATCAACATAGACCGTAGGACTTTTCACACGACCTACTAAGCCGTCGCCAGTCCTTGCGAAGCGATGCAGCCATCGTTGGGCGCGCTGCCGCTTTGCCTGCAGTGAAAGCCTGCCCAGCCCTAGAGGAATCTCGAAAGCCTCTTGTAGCTAATCTTCTTCCGGTTTAGAGTCGTACGTTTTCTGGAGTTCAGGGATGCATTCAGCAATTCGGGGGCTGGGTACTTGGTCAATTGTATCACTGTGTCTCACAGCCAGTGTGTCCAAGTAGAGCCAAACTCCGGAGCTGAGCAACTCTTGGGCCCTACAAGGTCCATGGTCTGTTGACTTCAGGGCTCCCGGCTTGTGAGGACGAAAGTCTCTCTGGAATCCGTATATGCCAGGTGTCGAAAGCCTTTGCTAAGATGAGGGTAGGGGTGGGGAAATATATCGGGGCCTTAATACTTACCCATACTATTTTGGGCGTTCTTTATTATGATTATAGTATAATGGGCCCCCCCAAACCCTAAACCCTAAACCCTAAACCCTATTCTGATGATCAGTGCCTCGAGGTCGCAGGGCGCAGTGCCGCACTGCGCTTCGCCACTGGTGCTGCCTCAGAGGACCCGCAGGCGCAGCAGGGCTGGGGGATTTAGGATTCGGGTTTAGGGTTTACCTATATAGTCTCTATTGTATATCCTTTTTTCGGTTAACCAGTTTTATGGTTAGGATCCTATAATATAGATGTTGGTTAACCCGAAAAAAGAACTACAATGGATACTGTAGGCAGGGTTGAGTGGCTGAGTCCAAGGATGGCATAGGGATAGGGGTTAAAAACTAAATAAATAAGGATCAAAAAAATTAAATAAGGATCAAAAAAAATAAATAAGGATCAAAAAAATAAATAAGGATCAAAAAAAATAAAACGGGTATCCGCGAAAGGAAGGGGAAAAAGGAAGGAAAGAAAGACAGAGAGAGAGAGAGAGAAGGAAAGAAAGAAGGAAAGAACGAAAGAAAGGAAGGAAGGAAGAAATAAAGCAAGGAAGAAAGACAGAAATAACGAAAGAAAGAACGAAATAAAGAAATAAAAAACAACGAAAGAAAGAAAGAACAAACTACAACTAAAACTACAACATACTACACCTACAACCACAACGCCAACAACAACAACACTACTAGCAACAACTACACCACGAAATCCGTCCTGAATGCGAAATTGTAAGGAAAATTTGATTTTTCCCGAGGAATAAGCTAGGTAACGTATGTTTTCCTTCGGAAAACCTGAAGAAATGACACGAACGCCGTAGGTAATAGGAAAATAGGCTTTTTCCTAGGAAAAACCAAGGAAAACTTAAAGAAATACAACGGAATTCGTAGGAAAATCGTGTTTCCCCAGGAAAAACCAAGCAAATCCTTAGGAAACGAAAGAAAATCCATAGGAAAGCAGTGTTTTCCCTTGGAAAAATTCAAGAATTGCTGTATCCAAAAAGCAAAAAAGAAAGAAAGAAAGAACGAGAGAGAGAACGAACGAACGAAAGCAAAAACAAGAGGAAGAACGAAAGCAAGAACTAAAGAAAGAAACTTAAGGAAATACCACGGAATCCTTAGGAAAATCGTGTTTTCCGAGCAAAAACCAAGCAAATCCTCAGGAAATGAAAACGAATCCGTATGAAAACAGTGTTTCCCCTGGGAAAAATTCAAACATTGCTGTATCTAAAGAGGACGAAAGACAGGAAAACAGAAAGAAAGAAAGATAGAACGAGAGAGAGAACGAAAGAACGAAAGCAAAAACGAAAGAAAGAACGAAAGCAAGAACGAAAGAAAGAACGAACCAAAGAAAGAACGAAATAAATCAAACCAGAAAGAAAGCAAGAAAGAAAGGAAGGGAGTATGAGATGAACAAAGAAAGAACAACAGAAAGAAAGAAAAGAAATGAACGAGCGAAAGAAAGAAAGATGTCCATAATGAAAAAGCAAAGTTGGAAAAGACGAAAGAGAAAGAATATGAAATAATCACAGAAACAAAGATACAAGCAACAGGATATTACAGGGTCCATCGAATTTACCATAATATCGTAGTGTACCGTAACATAATATAACATAATGTAACCTAATGTTATAAAATATACTACATATTATGTTGTAAATATACACACTGTATTGTACTATGTTACAATGTACTACACTATAAACTAAGATATTGTTTTGTTCCATGTCATCTTCTGTTATATTGTATTGTTGTATTTTTAGTATGCTACTATATGCTATAAGAAGCAAGGTTCTATTATGTTAGAAAATGTCACACCATTTTTGTGTTGTCGAACCATCTTATGTCGTTCTTCTGGTTTATTATGTTATATATATATATATATATTAGGTTAGAATGCTAACGGAAGAAGAGACACGAACAGGCACTGAAGACCGAAACACCCGCCGCCGCGCTTTTCGAGACGCGCAAGCTTGATTCAAAGAGTGTTTTCGAAGCCCATCATGTGAACGTTGTCTCTGCAAATGGGGGGGGGCTGCGCCCCCCCCCAACCCCCCCGCTGTTTTAAGCCGTGCAGGATTGCTTTGAAGCATATGCCTTTTTTTGAAACCCAGCAAATGAGGGCGTCTCCGCCCTTGTAGATACATGCTGAACCAGAATCGCCAAATGAGGGGCGTGTTTAAAATAGATGATGAAGCGGAATACCAGCAACAGTTACAACAGGAAATCCGTCCTAAATGTGAAATTGTAAGGAAAATTTGATTTTCCTGAGGAACAACCATATGTTGTCCTTCTGAAACCCTGAAGAAATGACACGAACGCCATAGGTAATAGAAAAATAGGCTTTTTCCTACGAGAAATCAAGGCAAACTTAGGGAAATACCACGGAATCCGCAGGAATATCGTGTTTTCCAGAGGAAAAACCAAACAGATCCTAAAGAAACAAAAGGAAATCCCTAGGAAAACAGTGTTTTCACTTGGAAAAATTCAAGAATTGTTGTATTTTAAGTGCTTTAATTTTTTTGATCCTTATATTTTTTTGTTGATGCCTCTGCCCCAGGAATTGCTGTATTTTGAGTGATTTATTTTTTTGTTGATCCTTATTTTATTTTTTTGATCTTTCCATTTAATTTTTTTGATCCTTATTTAATTTTTTTGATCCCTCACCCGCAGGCATACATCGTATAATTAACCTTTGTTGTTTATGCACGTAGATCTCGAGGCTATTGCTTTTCACCGTTTTTTCTTTAGCTTGCACTGGTTATGTACTTGCTTCGGTTCGGACCAGTCTAGCGATGCATGCAGCCGCCCTGTTCCCTGGAACGGCGTCTGTAGATGCTATAGACAGCCGCTCACGTCAGGTCCCCGTGGGTCATCTTGTTTTCTCTTCACTCTATACAAATTCTGAAGTAAGCATCCACATGGGTAAACCGAACAGCCCAAGACCAAGCTCTAAACGCTCTAAACTCCTACAGCCTGAACCCTAAACCGCCCAAGTAAGCCCTATTCTAATTGTTAAGGCCCCTATACTAGTACCCTTACACCCCTGCATACACCCCTTCAAAGGAACCTTAGTCCAATTATTAAGGCCCCTACATTGAGCATCAAAGCAGCGTGGCAGGTTTTGCTGGCAGCCCTTGGAAAGGAACCCTCTGCCTGGGCCTCAAGCGCAGCACGTGGCCTTTAGAGGGTTTGGGCTTTGTAGATAGGACTGGAAAGGGCTTGAGGGTGTAGGGATCGAGGGCTTTACAGGGCTTTTGGGTGTAGGGTTGGGGGTTTGGTCCTAGTGTTTTGTTGGTTTGGGCCGCAAGTTTGGACAGTTCTATGGGGTGCTAGAGTATGAGTGGCTCAGAGGGTGTAGGGCAGTGTAGGGTTGGTCAGGTTCGCTGGCTGAAAATGGCATCAATAGCCCATAAAGTGCCTAAGTCCCGAATCCTAAGCTGCAGCCTCAAAACCCCACACTCTCATACACTAAAACCCCAAACCCTCAAGCCCTAAACCCTCAAACCCTAAGACTCCGAGAGCAGCCTCTCCGTCACTTGAGCTCTAGGGGACTTAGTAAGTAGGTTAGAAGTAGAGTTAGAAGTACCCTCAATGGAGTTACCCCAATTATAACCCTACTTGTAACCGACTTACTAAGTCCCCTGGGCCTCCAAGTAATCCTAAAACCCCTCTTACTTACATACGCTTAATAGATCCCTTCTAAAGAGCCCTTCAAGGAGACCTTTGAGAAGCCCCTTTAAGGAGCCCTTCAACCCCTAAACCCTAAACCCTTTAAGTAGGAACCCTTTTAAGGAATCCCTAAACCCTAAACCCTAAACCCTTCATTGCATCCCTTAAGGAACCCTTTAAGGAATCCCTGGGCCTCGAACCCTAAACCCTAAACCCTAAGAGCCCTTTTAACAAACCCTTTAAGGAATTTCTGGGCCTCTAACTAAGGCCCTTCGGCCCGGCTCTGCCCGCGGCCGCCCGAGGGTCCAAGGAGGCGGACCCGGCGGAAGATGAAGCCTAGGACCCAGAGTAGGCCCTTATTGCCATTTTAGGGTTTAGGGTTTAGGGGTTTAGGGTTTAAGGGTTTAGGGTATCCATTGGACTAAGTGGACCCCAAAAGTATGTAGAAAAATGGCCTTTTCTGAGTATTGGGCCATTATTTTCCCTACTTCGGGTGTGCAGGGTTTACCTATGGTCTCCATTGTAGTTCCTTTTTGGGGTTACCTTATAGGATCCTTCATATATAATGGGTTAAACCAAAAAAGGAACTACAATGGAGACTTTAGGTAGGACTAAGAGTGCCTAGAGGGTCATACCCTACCCCCTTTTTTTAGGGTACCTAGTTTTATGGCTCTTATATAGAAAAGTAGTACCTAATCAAAAGGGGTAGGGTATGACCCTATAGGTAGGCCCGTATTACCCTTTTAGGGTTTAGGGTTTAGGTAAAGTTTAGGGTTTATACAATAATATAGGGTTCAGGTTCAGGGTTTAGGGTTTACCCCAGGGATAGAAGGACTCATATATTAAGGCTTTTGGGCCCAAAGACCATCCTATATCAGGCTCTTGGGCGATTTTGATCCCTAGGGTTAAGCTGTACCCTCGAGTCTCCATTGCAGTTCCTTCTTTTAGTTGACCAAAACCATACTGGTTAACCAAAAAGACGGAACTACAATGGAGACTCTCAAGGGTCCAAGTACCTAATAATCATATATATATATACTCTCCAAAATCCTAACCTACATACCTACTATCCGAAAATCAAGTACCTAATTATTGGGTCCTTTGGACCCTTGGGTTCTTTTAGGATCCTTTTTATAAGGACCCCCCAGAATAACGTACCCCTATTTTCGGAAACTCTAAGCCCTTATACAGCCTTTCAAAGGAACCCTTGTAAGCCTTATAGTAACCCCCTTTAAAGGAACCCTACAATACCCCCAATCCCTTATAACCCCCCAAATCCCTTATAACCCCCCTTTTAAAACCAAAAAGGCCAGCGGAAGATGAAGCTCTGGCGCGGCCGGGGCAAAGGCGAGGCCTCAGGATGGAGTTTTGGCCTTTGGTTTTGGGTTCAGGGGTTAGGGTTTTGGGTTTAAGGTTTAGGGGTTAGGGTTTATGATAGGGTTTATGAGTTCAGGTTTCAGGGTTTGGGTTTCAAAGTTTTTTGGGTTCAAGGTTTATAGGGGTTAGGGTTTATGAGTTTAGGCTTTGGGGTTTAAGGTTTAGGTTTTAGGGTATATAAGGTTTGGGGTTTGGGGTTAAGATTTTAGGGTTTTGGTTCAGGGTTTAAGGATTAGGGTTTAGGGTATAAGGTTTGGAGTTTAGAGTTCTGGTTTCAGGGTTTGGGTTTAGGCTTCAAGGTTTAGGGCTTAGGATTTAGGGTTTAGGTTTTAAGGGTTTTGATTGGGGGATGTACTATGGATTAGGAGGTTTAACGAAGGGTTTCGGGTTTAGGGTTTATCGGGATGTATGGATTAAGGGGTTTGGGGAACGGATGGATTAAGGGCAAAACGTGTAAAAGTTTGAAGTTTCTTTGAATGAGATAGATAGATATATATATATATATATATATATATATATATATTGAATGTTCAGATCACGACGGCCGTCGGCATCGTGCTACAAACCGGGCCGCTTCTACTTCTAATACATCTCCCGCTACCGCTAGTGCTACCACTGCTGCTGCTGCTACCCACAATAGTGACGGAGAGAAGGTTATATTGCATGGATGGGACTTAGACATGCAGGCAACAATCCTGATGCTGAACATAGCCGACTCAGCTTTGTCCGATCTCCGCATCCCAAATAGCTGCGCAAAGCACCTCCCAAAGGGGTTCAGAAAACGTACTAGTATACTGTATTATGCAGGAACATACTATACAAATATTTCAAGACACTATGATGTGTCCATGTTCAGCATCCAGGACCCTGGCTTGCGAGCAGAAGGAGTGGAAAAGCCATGCTGGAAGGAAAATGGCTGTCTGAAGATATTGATGCCTTGTGGTTTGCGGTGCTCTCGGGTTTGAGGTAAGCCAGAGTTCAGAGTCCTATATAGGGTGGTGAGATTCCGGTGAGCCCTTTGTGGAGATTCAGAGGCCCCAACAAGTGCAGACTCCCAGGTCAAAGATTCCGATCGTGGAAGATCCTAATCCTTTGGGCTCGGGCATCCCCATAAGGTCTGCACCTGGTGGGCAACGAGGCGACGATGGACGACCTCGGCTTCATAATCCCTATGGAAGGCTTCCGACATGTTCGGTTCTGTGGACTCGTGAGTCGAGATCTGACGCTTTCCGGTCAGCCGTTGTGCCCGCTGTCGAGAGTCCTGGCTTTGATAGAGACTTGAGTTGCCAGCGATAATTTGTGAACTAATCTCTCCATCGGCCACTGGGGTTCTTTAGGTGGACGTCCACCTCCGGCGCACTGCGGTGATCCGACAGTTTCAGCGATGGTGGGGCCCGCGGATTGTGAGAGGGGTCAACTGTCCCCAAATCTAGGCCCGCTAGGCCTCCATAGGTTGAGTCATAACTAGTCCCAAAGTAAACGACTATCAAATTACCTAGGATGATATGTTTCTGCGCCACATGAGCCCGAAGCCTCTGTAGTACCTTCTTGCTACAGGATCTGCATCCTAGTCGTGGCATCGGCTGTCATCTCCACCATAAAGATTCCATAGCAAGTCTAAACAGTCTTAACTCCAAATCGTGAATCCGCTCAAGTTGTCAGTCCCTTCACCCAGAAACCATTGGTTAAGATTCCAGACCCCAGAATTCAATCATCAGTCCGGCACACTTCCTGCACTCGTTTCCCAAGCATAACAGCCAACTCTTCACATAAATGTCGTACTCTTACATACCGTCATCGGGTGTATCACAGTAAGTACTGTATCATGTTTGTAGATGTCCAAGCATATGTCTTATACATACATACATACATACATACATACATACATTTATTCATACATGCATACGTATGTGCACACGCACATACATACATACATACATACATCTATGTACCCTAGAACTGTGGGTGTGTTTCATGCAGGAACGCACTCTCCACCTTTCAGACAAGATGCAGGGCCCCGAGAGCGTTGGGTCTGGACCAAAACAATAAAGTTGGCTCTGCTCAGGTTCAGGATTTCTGGTTCAATTGGGGCAAGCGGTTTTGTTGGACTTTGAGATTCAGCATTAGAATCAAGTTAAGCATCAATTCGGTCATATGTTCTTTCCCGGGCCTGGGCTTTAGGACAGAATTCTCTTCTAAGGGTTTCGTCATCGTCGCCGCTATATTCATCGATTGTCATCTCAGCTGTGTTTAGCATCAAACCCAAAAAAACCTCAAAGCCCTGGAATTCTGAAACCCTCGAACTCTAAAAACTTTGAAACCCTAAAACCCTTATAAAACCTTAAAACCCTAAATCCTAAGCCCTAAACCCTAAACCCGTAGTGGGAGCTGCGGAGTTGAAGGCACTCCGTGCCGATGAACTTGAAGCTCAGCCACCCGGCGGGCATCTCTGCCACGGCAGCGAAAGCAACTGCCCTGGAGTGCTCGAGTGTTGAGTGTTTCTCAAGTTGAGAGACCGAGAAGCTAGTAGTTCACGGATTTCTGACCATGACGTGTAGTGTTTTTTGTGTAAGAGGCTCAGATCCCACGACAAGACATCCCCATCATGCTTTTCGTTCCAAGTTGGTTATAGCTAGAACTCACGAAAGCTTGGGCGAATCCATAAACTCAGGCGTTTAGGATTCAAGGTCCAAGGACAAGCTGTGCAACGATCTTATGACCGTCAAAATCTTTTGGACATCGGTCTCGAGGACTGAGGAAGGGGAAAGCTGATTCAGGGACCTTCCGAACCACCACAAACAAAACCCGGGATCTTCTAGCATCCAGCCTAGACTCCATACCCTGCCTAAACGCACAAAAGCGAAGACTGTCACCCTACAGACCGCGACGGTAAACTTGCAAATGCAGAACAGTCAGATGGCCCAATTACCTACTTTAAAACGTACACTACTTTAAGTGGTTGGTTTTGGGTCAGTCAGGGCCGGGGCGGGACAAGTAGCGAAAAGTATAGTGTTTTGGGTGGGTTAGGGACTATGGTTTTGGGAGTTTAACTGCCGGGGCTTTGAGTTTTAGGTGTTTTTTGTGGTATGAATTGTGGTCGGAAAACTTAGTTAATTTTGGGGGGATCATTTGAGGGCAGAAATTAGCTGTTTCGGTATTGGGGTGCGAAGCTAGATTTCTGAAATAGTATATGAAAAGGTTATCAACTTCAGAGGCCTTTCGTCGTTCGCTTTTCGTTGGCCATCGAGCACATCGTTTTCATCCTCGACGTGGACGTTCGGAGGTGGCCCTGGCAAGTGTTGGGGTTTGGGTTTGTGCGTGCAGGAGTGTTGCTTGCCAGTGCATGTCACCTGAGTTTGTGCAGTTGCAGCTGAGCTTGCATGGATTGATTTTTTCGGCAGCATTCAGTGGCCCCAAAGTGCATTGATGTCCCGATCATGTCACAGATCTTACTTCTAAATACCATTCTCACTTTCGCAGATTTCACAGCTTTCTTTTTGGTCGCTCGGGGTTTCTTGGTCGTTCGGTCTTTAGGCCGTTCGGGTTGTGTTGGTCGTTCGGTCTTTATTTAGGCCGTTCGATTTTTGGTAGTGTCGTCACGATGTCTCTCGGCGGCCGCAATGGACCTCGTCGTGCGAATGAGGACCTGGACTATGAGCAGCTCGAGGGCAACATCGACGAGGGGTCGTTCTGGCAGGGCCCGTTGATCGTTGCCTGGGGGGCAGAGGAGACATATGCCACGTCCAGTCGTACGGGGGTCGTTCGTAGCTTGCCTTAAATTATGATGCCAGGGATGTGTGACTGTGTGGCTTCAGGTGTCACTTCAAGGCTGTCCAATCAGTTTGCGATCTAAGGCCAGAAAGGCCACTCGGTAATGCCGGCGTTCTTGAAGAAGAGGTGGTATGAGTTGATGGGGACCCAGACCTCCATCGACGTTCGGGGCATGTGGCCTAACGATAAGGAGGCCGCTCGAGTTGCTGGCAACTTGGTTTAATTAATTGATTAAGGCGGCTTGTGAGGTTTGGTCGTTCGAGGGTTTTTGAAATTGAGGTAACCCGCTCTGCGTGTATGCCGCCTGGCGAGCGGCGTTCGAGCAGCAAGAGTTCATCCCGGCCTTCCTTGTTTGCTACAACCTGCTCCAGGCCCTCGTGCCGCTCGAGGGTCGTTCGGTTTTGCAGATCATTTGTAGCCTGGATGCATCTAGGGACATTCCGTGAAGCCAAAATATGATTGAAGCCATGATTTATCCAGCATGACTCCAGTGCAACCAAGGCTCCCATGGCAAAAACCGCTCGGCGTCCATCGGGGTCGCTCTGAGTGCTTTGTGTCGCATCCCGATTTGGCTCCCGACGTTCGGAGATGCCCATCGGGAGTGGTGGGCGATCGCCCAATTGCCGGACGTGGCCATGGAGGAGCTGCAAAACTTGGTGTCGTCCAACCGGCCGGTCAAAGGTCCCCAGACTCCACCAGGTCCCCCGGGGGCCCCGCCTCCCGGTGGGGTTCAATACCAAGGGACGTTCGACAAGGCGGATATGGGGGCCTCCATGCCATCCCTTGGCCATCCGATTCGAGATGCCGCCTCTCGGATGGATAGTGTTGTGATCTTTGCGATTCGGTTGTTGCTTCATGGCCTCGCGAGGTTCGCTATGAGATATGGCAAGTGGCGCCCGCCGTGCTCCTGGAGCTCGACGACCTTCGGTTGGACGACCAGTGTATGCGGGCCTTTCGGATAGCATTTAGTAAGCATGCCGACAGGAGTGAGTTCAGACTTGCATTTGAAAACATCCACTTTGAATCCTGAGTCTATCTCCAACATGGCCGGCCGTGGAGTGGAGGGGGCGCAGTTCGTGCGTGAGCTTTTCCAGATCTTCCAGCGAGACTTGGCTGCTTTAGTTGGGTCGTTCGATGGTCGTTCGGTTTCGCGAAATTTTGTAGCTGAGGCGAGAATCAGGAGGACCTTCGGAAGTACGACAATCCGTCGGCCGCAATTACACGGGCCATTCGGAAGGAAATGGATCGCTTGCGGCCGGAGATCCCGGGGCTGCCTGGCATCTTGGACCACAATAACTAAAGTGAAGTTGTGCTTAGACTCAGCTGATAGGGCAAGTCCGGTTGGCCTGTGTTCTGAGGAAGCAGTGGCGATGGTCCTCGCCGTTCGGACGACCCGCCTCGCGATCATCGTCCTTCGGGCAATCGTTCGGACTGGGGTGACTACGATCCCCCTCGCCGTTCGGACGACCGTGGTGGCTTGCATGCACGAGGTTAACCAGTGAAGCTGCGGTTTTGACTTGGGACTTGGTCGTAGAGTTGAATCGAACCGGGTCTGAGGCGACGATCGTGACCGCCGTGGCCCTGGTCCTGGTCCTCGCTACGGCGATCGTCGTTCGGAGGACAGGGACTATTACAACCGCGATCGTCGCCCGAACTTCTACGACGATCGTGATCGCGATCGTCGCCCGGGCTATCGCTTTGAGCGGCGGGACTACGACGAGATCTCCGATCCGGGCCACCCGGGACGTCCGGCCCCTCGCTGCGGCTTTTCGGACGAGCGGGTCGCTCGTCCAGCAATGATTGATTCATGTGCTTTGTCACTTGTTTTGGCCGTTCGTTTTGCATGGCTTGCATTGAATAACAGTGTTACATTGCAGCTGCCGAGGATCGCCAGCGTCGTCGCTACTAGGCCGTTCGTGACGGCCGTGCCTAGGCTTAACTTGAACAGTCAGTTATGCTTGCAGCGAGTTGAACTTCATTGAACGTGCATCCGACTAAGGTTCGGACTGGGCCATTGGAGCCCAGCAAGCTGCGATCCTGATGTCGTTCGTTCGTCCCGGGATCTCGCGGCCAGCCTTTTTTGCGGGACGGGCGAGTAGAGCCAGCCCGCCGACAGGGGCAGGGGGGAAAAAAGAGAACGTGTTTGCGTGCACTGGAAGCTGTCTTTTGCCATGCAGCATCAACATGTGCTGCTTCTTCTGACTTCGTGGCAGGTCCTGGACGTTCGGGAGGCCGTGGCGGTGTTCGTGTCGACAATCAAAGCAGGCCGGCCGACTTTAATTAGAAACTTCGGGTAGTATGGAATTCGTGGGTTTTGCGGGTTGGTTTGTCGCTCACTTTGGAGTTCGTATTCGGGATCGGGGTGTTCTTTGATCAGGTTTGGCCGTTCGTGTGGGACACATGATAAGTGAGTGAGCCCCGAGCCTGTAATTTTCCCAAACAACAAGCCCCAGTAACAAGCCCCTAGATTCGACTTTAGAAACAGCTATATATCTCTGGTTGTAAGCTACAAAGAAGCATTCTACCTCCTGTATGTGAACAAAAAACAAAGCTTCGGCCAGACCTATAAACCCAAAACACAAGCACCCGTGGCTAGTTTTACAGCATATCTAATTTCGGTAGGACAGAACTTTGAGTAACCAAAGCCATCATTGTACAAACCAGGCCCAACGTCGTTCGAACTGAAAACAAGGCCCAAACCAAGCCGCCTTTTCCCCGGCAGGAGCGGGCGTGAGCATCTCGCAGGTCGTTCGGCGGGTTTTCGGCGTTCGGGATTACTTTGCACTAGCTTGGAGGGTTTAGATTGGTGCTAGTAACACAGTCTACGGGAAGCGAGGACGTTCGGAAGACCCCAAACACATCCTAAACCACACAAGCTAAACCTTAGAGCTTAATGCTAAATCTTAGAGCCCCCAAACAGACCACAGACTGGGAGCCCAAACCCCAAGCCCTTTAGCGACATGCCTTGAGTGTTTTTTGGGACGTTCGAAATGCATTGGATCTGTGCGTGTGTGCTTCTGGTTCCAGGGTTGAGATAGGGCACATCAGTTAGTAGGAAAGCCCCCGTCATCATCCGTGCTGCTTGGTCCGTCGGTCGTTCGTGGTCCTTCGGACTTGCTTTGCTTTTCGTCTTCGTCGTCGTTCGTGGTCCTTCGTGGTCTCTCGTAGGCCTCACGACCCATGGCGAAATCGGGCTCGGCAGCGGCGAGTCGCAAGGCGGCCGTAGCAAAGAAGCAGGCCGACAAGCAGGCCGCTCGACGTCGGGCGAAGGAAGAGAAGCTCGCCAAAAAAAGCGAGAAGGTCTTCGCGAAGTCTCTCGCCAGCTTCCAAAAGTCCTCGGCCGAGCGAGCGAGGGCCTACGTGGACCAGCAGCTGGACGACAACCCAGGTTGGGTGCGGCCTCTCGCGGATTTGATGCGAGACGGAGCTCTCCAGGCACTGATTCGCAACGGTGGGACGGAGGCCGACGGAGGCCGGTCGTCTTCGAGCATGGCACCACGGTGGACAGGCAAAGCGAAAAGCTTTGGTTGTTTGCCGGACGAAGCCAAAGCTCACATGCTTGAGGTCATCGGCGTGAAGATCCCAGAAGATGGCACCGATGAGGACACTCTCACGGCGTTCTTTTGTGTGCAATTCTTTGTCGATCCGGACACCAGCCTCCCGCCCAACTGTCGGCCGTTCGATGTGTTGACGGAGATGGCCGAGGCCCGTTTCAAGCAGCTCGGGTCCACGAGAATCGCCACCGAGGTCAAGGAAACGGAGTGCTACACCTTCACCCCGCCATTGTCGATCAAGTGCCCTTTGACGGACGAGGTGGTCACTCTGCCACCGTTGACGGGTGAGGATACGTGGGAGTTGACAGATCCAACTTTGCCATCGTGCTCCGTGCAATCAAAGGCAAACCCGGCCGTGTCGTTCGCCGTTCGCAGTCTCTTCCAGCTGCTAAGGCCGATCGACCCAGAGGCCAAGTGGAATGGCAAGAAGAAGTGAGCTTTCCTTGTGCGTCTCACGGGGTTCGGCCGTTGTCGTCACTCGCACAACGGCAGTTTTGGCTGGGGTCGCAGCCGCAATCTTTGTGAAAAGCTGTTTGTGGCTGCTATGGGGCGGAAAAAGCTACCCTTTAGAGTGCTGTATGCCCATTTGAACACATTTCAGCTGTATCGCCGGTGTTTTGTATGGTTTTGCTAGGGTTTTGCAAGGGTTTCTGCTGGTTTCTTGGTATACAGCCAATCCTTGACTTTGAGGGCGTCATAAAGGCATGGTTTTCAGAGTGGTGCGTTTCAGTGTTTTTCAGGTGCGTTTCAGGTGCGTTTCAGCTTTTTTCCGAGGTTTTTGCTTGGTTTTGGGGCCCCTCGTGCAACTTGCTGCCAGGTCGCTCGGGAGACGAGTGCGTGGTCCTCGGCGTGCACTGTCTGCCTTGCGAGGAGGTGAGCTTTCAGTCTGTGCCACAGTGTGTTCCTACGGCTACTGCAGGTTTTTAAGCTTGAAAGGCTGAGCAGCAGATGAACACACATGGGCATCATCATGAGTCCGGGTTGCTTTGTCTCTAAGTAGTCAAGTTAGTCGTTTTTAAAAGTTGTATTGTAAGAGCATCCCAGAAGTCCATTCAATTTTCCGCTAGATCACACTGTTGTGATGGCGTCCGTGGTTGCACAAAAGGGTGTTAAAGCAGAGGGCGAGGACGAGGTCGTTGAAGTGAAGTCAGAGTCAGAGGGTGAAGACAAGGTCGTTCGAGCAGAGGCAGACGTCGTTCGAGGGCGGGTCGTGCGTGCGGTGGTTTTGCCGTGCGGGGCGAAAGGCAACTTCAAAGGCGAGGTCTACGAGTTTGCCGAGCCTGTGCAAGCCGAAGACGGGCTGTCGACACCGGGTTTTTTCTTCTGGTTGTTTCGGTGGCTGGTCGATTTCCTTGGTGGAAATCAGATCCCCAACTTCGGGGGGCGATCGCGAGCCACTCTGCTTGGCCGAACGGCCAGCCTGTTGGCCGATGGTCTTTCATCGTCGTCGGAGGAGGAGGAGGGCGAGAAGAAGGGGTCGTTCGATGGCGGGATCGTCAAGGAGGAGGACGAGGAGGAGGAGGAGGAGAAGAAGCACGATGAGGCGGAGGACACTCGGAGGCGACAGGCCAAAGTGCCGATCGCAGAGCAGCACTTGACGGTGTCGAGCATCATGTCACGGCTGTCTGGAGCGAAAAGAAAGTCCGGAGGCAGGGTTGATGACGAGGACGTTGAGATGGAGGTCAAGGACGACGACGAGGAGCTGGAGGCGGTGGACGTTCCTGGAGACTCCTTCGACGAGGCAAAGGCTCCCCGGTTGAGGGGCGACTTTGCTTTGTCGTCGTTCGCGATGTTGGTCTGGATGTCAAAGCTCATGGTCTCGGGGCCTCGGGCCGGCTCCCGATGGATGCTGGACTCTGCGGAACTGAAAGGTCGCTGCCGGGCCTTTCTCC